GTGGGCTCTGGTGGCGTGGCGCTCGGGGGGGGGTGTGTTTCCGGCTGCGTGGCACTCGGCGGGGGGGTAGTTCCGGCGGCGTGGTGCTTTTTTTTGCTGCTTGGGGCAGCAAAAAAGTTAGAGCTGGCCCTGCTTCTAACGTTAGCTCTTCTAGTGCCTGCTGCTAATCATTAGAAAGTGTTACTAGAATTTGACATCTATCACTGATAACAGGAACAAAGAAACTGCTGTGCTAGATCAGACTCATGGTCCATCTAGTCCAGTAACATGTCTTCAAGTGGCCTGCACTAGAGGCTTCAGAGGAAGGTGCAAGAAACCTCACAATAGGTAGATGTGGGATAATCTGCTCTACTAGTTAGAGGTTGGCTTAAAGCCTGAAGCTTGCAGACAAGGTCTGTCTCTTTGACAGACAAGACAATTCAAGCTCTAGGATTAATTAAAAAATTAATTAATTAATGGAGATATCCCATCTCCTAGAACTGGAAGGGACCTTGAAGGTCATTGAGTCCAGCCCCCTGCCTTCACTAGCAGGACCAAGTACTGATTTTGCCCCAGATCCCTAAGTGGCCCCCTCAAGGATTGAACTCACAACCCTGGGTTTAAGCAGGCCAATGCGCAAACCACTGAGCTATCCCTCCCCCCCAAGGATGTAACAGAAGCGACAGTGGTAGAGTTGAACTGCCTGATTTAAGGGCCAGGATTTTAAAAATGGGCACCTAAATGTAGTCTCTTAATTCTTGTATTTAGGAATCTAAATAAGCTGCTTGACTTTCAAAGGTGCTGAATACCCAGTGGTTTCCAATTGTTAATTTTGCTCAACATTTTTGAAAACTAGGCCACTTATTTAGGTGTGTAAATATGGACTAAGGAGATGAAATTAGACACCCATTTAAAAAAAAAATCTTACCCAAGTCAAGAAAATGATGAATCAAAGGTCTTGTTTACTTTTTGTATATATGTAAAGGCACTTAGATGTCACAGGGATGACTGTGGTATATCTATTATCAGGGGGCAGCCATGTTAGTCTGTATCCACAGAAACAATAAGGAGTTCGGTGGTACCTTAAAGACTAACAGATGTATTTGGGCATAAACTTTCATGGGTAAAAAAACAACTTCTTCAGATGCACCTGAAGAAGTGGGTTTTTTACCCACAAAAGCTTATGCCCAAATACATCTGTTTGTCTTTAAGGTGCCACCGGACTCCTTTGTTTTTGTGGTATATCTAGAGAGATTAGACAGCATAATTCTGAAGAGTTTGGATTGCAAATGTAACCCCAACCAAAATCACCTTGATTGTGTTAGTTATCCGTTCATCTGCTCTTCCATGAGGTGCCATATTGTTGAACTAAAATGGAGAATGTAGCTGTACAGATAAACTTAGGCAGCTAGCTTCCCCTCCCAAAGTTGGTGGTGAGACAGAAAGAAAGGCTGCTCAGAGGATTCTCAGAGAGATGGGTGTGTAATAGCTTTGGGCCTAGAAACTGAGGCAGAATTGGTGTGTTTGGGTTTGGATGAGCTGCAGTGGTTGAAGTTTTCTGTGTGTATGGAGAAGTAAACTATGGGTTAGACCAAAAAGTAATTTTCTGTTTTAACCTATATTTTGATTATATAGACTGTTGTAATTATGCCACTATGATCCTGTTATCTTTGGTATGGTTTTGTGTGTGATTATGCCATGGATTATGTGGGCACTAAGATTAACCTATCTAGACCCCATTGCAGTAAGGTTATAATGTACTCTTTTCAAGAAGTGCTAGGAGATCTTTAATTTCCAGCTGGACAACCCACAGAAAGAAGCAGAAAAGGCTCTCATCCAAAGGGCACTGCCTCTAATGCTGCAGCTCCTCCCCTCTTTGCTACTACATTGCAGTGTCAGCATCAGGTCTGCACTAAAGTCCTAGTTGAGTGTTGAACCTACAATCTTCTTCTACAAAGGGGTAAGTGCTGCCAAAAGAACCAATGACACCTTTATAGTGGTATGTTTTCCTAGCTAGCTAACAGCTATATTTTTCATGACTGAGATTATCTATTTTTCTAAGTCATGTTCAGACATTCCCAACATGTTCAAACTGTAGTGACTGAACTGGAACAACAGCACACAGGCCTAAGCCTACTCTCATCTAACATTTCAACAAGTTGAACAGAAGAACAAACATAGCCTGAGCAATGGCACACTGAAGGTCCGACACACAAATGGGATACTGAAGGTACTTCACTTGAAAGATAAATTCCCCTGGCCTGATCCGTATTCAGGCAGAATTGCATTTGGTGTGTGTGTGTGTGTGCGCACGCACGCGCGTGCACACACACACACACACACACACTGCCAAACCTTCTCCTCCTGGGAAGAAAGCCAACAATGCGAAATGCAATCCAGTTGCTTCCCCCATCCCTCCTCCCAAGGGGAGTTATTTTAAAACTTCAAGCTCAATGTGTAACAACACTGACCAAAGGAAAAAAAGAGCAAGGGCCTGGGGGGTTCAACACAGAAACAAGGAGGAAAAAATAGAGGAGAAGAAATAATTGTGGACAATAAAAAGGAAAGGCTAATGCTAACCAGTGATCAGTGTCACTGCACAGAAGCAGAGTGGTTTAGTGGGAGGAGGATTGGTTAGGAAAGGGGTTGCAAGCAGTAGCAGTAAATGGGTTAGTTTGAGAGGAAGCAGACAGTAGAGATTGAACCTCTCTAATCCGGCACTCCCTGGTCCGGCAACATCTGTGGGCAGGAATAGGTGCCGACTCCATGGATGCTCTGGGGCTGAAGCACCCATGGGGAAAAATTAGTGGGTGCAGAGCATCCACCAGCACCAAGCTCTCCCCCCATGCCTCTCGCACGTAGGGTGACCAGATGTCCCGATTTTATAGGGACGGTCCTGGTTTTGGGGTCTTTTTCTTACATAGACTCCTATTACCCCCCACCTACTGTCCCGATTTTTCACACTTGCTGTCTGGTCACCCTACTCGCACGCCGGCAGCCCCGCACTTACCAACTCCTCCTCCTCCCTCCCAGTGCCTCCGGAGTGCCGCGAACAGCTGATTCATGGTGTTCAATCTCCGGAAGGGAAAGGGAGGACCTGGCGCTGGCGACTGGGACCCCAGGCGAGTGGCCAGCAGCTAGGACCTAGGGCCAGCATTGGAGCCCCCAGGTGGGGGGCCAGCAGCCAGGACTCTGGGTGGCAGTGGGGCCCCTGGGCAAGGGACCATGCTGGGCACAAAGCCTGGGGGTACTACACCTATGGAGACCTGCATCCACTGGCACTCTGCTTTGACCTCCCGTGGTTTGGCACCCGTCAGGTCCAGAGGGTCAACTAGAGAGGTTCAACCTGTAGTAGAAGGTAAGGGGCAGGCTAGAGATGGGGATGGCTGAAGTGGCAGCCGAGTGATTGGAGAAGAGAGTAAGGAAGGACTTGGCACCAGCAGCTGAACGTGGTTTGGTACACTATTAAAGAGGAGTTTGGTGGTCAGGTGGGGTTTGGCAGTGGCAGCGGAATGCTTTCTTTGGTAGAGAGTGTTTGGCATGGCAGAGTGGAGAGGGACAGGTTAAGCGCTGGCCAGAGGCGTAGCGAGCGCCCTCCGTACCCTCCGACCGGAGGGGGCCCCGCAAGGAAGGGGGTCCCCTAAAAGTGGCAAAAAAATGTAAGGGGCCCTGCCCGGACATATGTTCGGAGGGGGCCATGTTCTTTGTTGCTACGGCCCTGGTGCTGGCAGCAGGGAATAGGTTGGGGGTGGGGGCTAGGGAGAGATTTGACACTAGCAGGAGAGTGGTTAAGCCTGAGGAGTGGGTTGGCATAGGCATTTGGTGGAGGGGCTGGCACAGGGATTTAAGAGAAATTAAGGGGGTGGCATGGCACAGGGGGCTAGCCTAGGAGGTTTGAGGGGTTTTGGGAGGGCTAGCATGGAAAGTTTAAGGGGGTTGCACAGAATGTGTACCAGAGAGGGATTAAGGGGGGTTAGCATGGGGATTAAGGAGGTGTTTGAGGGTGGCTCAGGGAGTGGCATGGGGGGCTAGCCCTGGGTGGTTAAGGGAGCAGCGGGAGGTTAAAGGGGCATTTGGGGGCTAGTCCAGGGCGAATAAGGGGACGGTGTGGGGGGTAAGGGTTTTGGGGGGCTAGCTCAGTGTGGTTAAGGGGATGGCAGAGGTGGGTTAAGGGGGCATTTGGGGACTAGCCCGGGAGGGTTAAGGGGGCGGCAGGTAGGAGGGTTAAAGTGGCGTTTGGGGGCTAGCCTGGGTAGATAAGGCAGTGGTGGAGCGGGATTAAGGGAATGTTTGGGGGCTAGTCCAGGGTGGTTAAGGGGGAAGTGTGGGAATATTAAGGGCGCTTTGGGGGCCAGCCCGAGGCAATTCAGGGGATATTTGGGGACCAGCCCAGGGTAGTTAAGGGAGCAGTGGGGGCAAAGGGAGCAGTGTGGGGGCTAGGAGTAGCAAGGGGTATTAAGGGAGCATTTTGGGGGCAGCGGGTATTAAGGGGGCATTTGGGGGCTAGCCTGGGAGGGCTAGGGGGGCAGTGTGTGGGCTAAAGGGGCAGTGTGGGGGTATTAAAGGGGCATTTGGGGGCCAGCCTGGGGCAGTTAAGGGGATGTTTGGGGGCCAATCCAGGACGGTTAAGGGAGTGGGGAGTATTAAGGGGACATTTGGCTAGCTTGGGAGGGTAAAGGGGGCAGTGTGGGGGCTAAAGGGGCACGGTGGGCATCAGCCCAGGGTGGTTAAGGGGGCATTTGGGGGCCAGGCGGAGGGGTATTAAGGGGGCATTTGGGGCCTAGCCCTGGGTGGTTAAGGGTGTGGCCCAGGGCGCTTAAGAGGGTGGGGGTATTAAGTGGGCATTTGGGGGTCAGCCCAGGGCAGTTAAGGGGGTGTTTGGGGGCCAGCTTGGGGCGGTTAAGGGGGTGGCCCTTGTCGGTTAAGGTGGCAGGGGGTATTAAGAGGGTGTTTGGGGGCAAGCCCGGGGCGGTTAAGGGGGCAGTGTGGGGGCCAACCTTGTGGGGTACTAAGGGGGGCTTGGGGGTCAGCCCCG